TAAAACATCGAGGGAAATATCAGTTATAATTGCTTATTCATATATCAATAAATCTGAAACCCTTGATTAATAATTTACATAATAAATATTTCAAAAGAATCATGAATATTAGATTTGATTCAAACTCATAAATTTATAAGGATAGCTAAAATAAAAGTCTTGTTTTTAATTTTGTGAAACCTCAGCCACAATAGTCATCATTTTATTAATTAAATGAATTTCATGCTAAGGGAACAATATCATAATTTGCAATTCATTTAAGAGGAGGAGGCTGTGGGTAAGCTAAACCAATATCAAGAAGTGAAGAAAATTAAATTATTGGTGTACCCAAGGATTTATTGATTAAACTAGAAAATTATGTTAACATTATCAATACTAAAGCTCCACTTTTGATTGATCCTTAACAAAGAAATGAAGTAATAATTGCATTTTAATGGTTTATGTATAATAGAGAACACTTAAATGCTTGTTGTGTTAACAAAAATTTAACATAATCAATATATACAAAATCATTGAATTCTTTTAGGGATTTGCTAAAAATTCTTCCTGTTTATTTAAAATCTTCATGGTTTTTATGTTATTAGGTTCTTCAAATTTGTAATGATTTTTTGAGAATTATATATTCGTTCCATATACAAAATGAGGATAGAGAAATGGATTTAACGCAGTAATAAGAATTCCTATAAGAAGTAGAAGAATTTAAGGTCTAGTTAGGCATTGAATAAGCAAATGTATGGAGTACAGGAATAGAATATGAAATAACTCTTATGAAAATAATGTTAATGAATTGTCAAACTAATTCAGAAGAAGGAAAAAATTTATTAATAAATATTGTTAAAAATGTAGTTTAGTCGGCTTTGGCAATGTCACCTACCGAAGATTTAATCCCAAGCCTTTTTGAAGGAGCTAAATTCTTATTTTTACAATATAAAGACAAAGTATTATATCCTTAAGAGGTGTATGCTACTTATTATTTATTCCAAACACTAAAATGGTCTATTGTAAGACAATTAAAATCTTAGTATTCAGTCTATAATCAGTTGAAATAACTAAAAGATGCATTTTAATAATATATTCTAAATTCAGATAATTGGATCATTCATTATAGTTGGATATCAATGATAATAGATATTTTAGCATATAGACCCATTCTTGATAAATTTGAAATAATTAAAGGGTCTCCAATTGAATAATAATCAATGTGGAACAACTTAATTGAAAATAACTTAATTCTTAGTCTTCCATATAATAGAAATTAAGGGTCCATAGTGTTATTTCAAAATCAAGTAAAATATCTTAGCAAAGAATTAAAAAGTTTAATGGAATAATAGAGTATTCCTAAGTTTAAATTACTATCAGAGTCACTTATAAAAGGTTAATTTTCAAAATAAATTAATCTTTGGAATTTCTATGAAAATTTTACCTTTAACAAAAAGCAAGAAACTACTCTAAAGGATCATGAAATTGTATTACAAAACAATGATTTATCATTTATAGAGTAGTAAATTGAAAGATTTAATTCTTAATTAGATGAATTAGTTCTTCTTTACTAATAAATTTAAGAATCATTTACAGATTATTTTAATTAATAGGATATTACATAACTTTAAATCAAATTACTCTAAGATGATTATAATGTTTTTAGAAAATAATTTTTGGATGGATATAAATAGGCCTTATATTATCTACTTTTTATCATAGAAAGATCTACTATTGAATTTGAAAAAATTAAGTTCCTATTTCCTTGTTTTGAAAAATTTGAGATTAAAGTTTAAGAAAAATTAAAAAATTTATTTCAGATTATTGAAGATTTTATTAAGGTCAAATTTTAAGCCTTCTAGAAAGATTTTCTTTCAAATTTTCTAAAAATGATTGAATATTTGAGCTATCTATCTGAAATTAGTTTAAATTTAATAACAAAAAAGTAAACTGATTTAGAGAAAGTAAATTCTAAATTTTAGATTCAAAATCAATTCAACTCCCAATAAAATTCCGAAAAATCATTAATATTATAATAGTTTATAATAAATATAAAGGAATTTTAACAAAAATTTTGCTTCTCAGCTTCAAGTATTAAAACATATAATTCCAATATCAAAATTAATCCTTTATAAATATAAGCTATGTCGAATACTATATGCTCAGGGTAATGGATCAAAATAATAAGATAATAATTAGTTACTAGCTTTTCAGATAGATTTGATTTGGGTCAAAATTAAGTTACAAATAAAGAGGATATTGAAAATATCTATATAAATAGTATTTTTAACCTTTAAATATTGAAACTACTGAAACAATTTTGCTAGATCCACTAATACAAAATTAACACATTTGACTAAAACTTAGAGAAAGAAAAAAGCGTAGCAAATCAAGAGTAATAAAAATAATATTAAGACTTTAAATTAATGTTAATCAATTAGCTAACATAATAAAAGGAAAAATTAGAATTTATTTTAAAATTAAACTAGATTGATAAAGGTAGTAATATTAGTAAAGAAAAGAAAAAATACCTCCTTTAATAAATTACCACAGATCATTAGATGATTCAGAATGAATATGAAAATATGGTCACCTAATAGGCCAAATTAATAAAGTCCAAGGTTTTAAAATTCATGCAAGAGGCTCAATTTATCAGTTTACAAAATTAAAATGAGCAATATGATTTTGAGGCTTTAAAAAGTTTAATGGAAAAATATAATAATATTATAATAGAAATTCAAAATGATAAAGTTGATATTAATAATAATTTTGCCGATGAAAAATATTAGACTATCGAACATTTGATCAGAAGGAAAAGTCATTTAGATTTCTGTCATTTCTGTGTTGATTTAAATTTGAAAATGATAAAGGACATTAATAAATCACTAAAATTATTACAAAAATTTTTAATGTTGATGATAAATTAGCTTTAATAACCTGATAATTAAGAAATATAAATTCATATTGAAAACTTCAATAAATACATGTAATAAATATAAAGCAAATTTAACATTAACAAATCAATAACTAATTTTATTGAAAATATAAAGGGAAATAGTTAATTAAAAAATTGCTAATGTAAGGTTTAAAGTAAACAAGAGGATGAATAATAAAATTAGTAAACTGAACAAGGGAAGGATTTATAAATGGAATAAGTTGAATCAACTTTAGAAGAAACTTTAGCTTTCTTTTAATTAAATTAATAGAGTTAGGATAAAATACCTCAAAATTTAGACCCTATATATTTAAATATAATCAATAATCTATGTGAATAAGTGATGATAAAAAAGTCAATTTTTGATGTATTTGATTTTAACAATGATTATAAAATTAGAGAATGCTTGATTTATAATTTAATAAAACTATAATAAGGAATTAAAGAAGACAAAATAGTAGAATTTTCATCAAAACTGATTCAATATCTTTGGGTTTTTGAAAAAGATTAAAGAGTCAGAAATCTTTTGAAAAATAAAGAACTAATTGAAATGTAAAAACTTTTTTTTTCTAAAGATATCAAGTCAACATCAGAATAAATAAAATAAGAAATGAAATTAAGAATCAATAGCATAGAAAGCATTTCATAAGAATTAAGACTTGAAGGGAATTCTCAAATAAAAGAGCATCTTAAATAATAACTCAAGCTAGCTTATGAAGAACTTGAATAATATAATGATAATATTACTGAGATGTCAGAAAAAATGGATATAAGTTTAATATTTTTGAAGGATATATCAAAAGATGTGAAGTAAATAAAAAGTTAGATTGATAATTTATAAGAGAGTTTAAACTAAGTCGGTGAGGATGTTCGTAAATTAAGAGGAAAACGATATGATGAATTATTAGAAATAAGAAAATAAAAGATATTATTATAATCTAAGTTAGCAGAAGTAGATTCAGTATATGTTTAATTAAAAACTATTGAATATGATCCTGTTACTGGAGCAAGTATTAAATCCAAAGATGAAGTAGCAATAACCAATTTAATGTGTGAATAATGGAATGATTTTACTGGAGAAGTTAATGAATTTATTTGGGATGAGTCTAAATAAAATGATGTCATGTTACTTTCAGGAAATGCTGGTTCTGGTAAAAGTAAAGCAGCAAAAAAAATAGAAGAATTTCTATGGAAATAGAAAGAAATTAATTCTAAATGGATTCCTATCTTTGTATCACTCCCAACTTTAAAAAATCCTAAATATAATTTATTTGAATAAGCTTTAGAATCTGATAACTATTAATTTGATAAATATTAGCTTAGAGAATTTAAAGATGCTATCTAAAATAAAAAAGAATATATCATTTTAATACTTGATAGTTATGATGAAATGAAATAAGATTGTATCTAATAAAATCTAATTATAACGAATAAGTTAATTAATGATTTGAATATTGATGAAAAATAAAAATAAGTCAAGATAATCATCACAACCAGAAAAGAAATATTAAACACATTGGGTTATTAAACTTGGTTTTATGGGAATAGCATAAGGAGTTTAAAAGAAGTTTAGATCTAGGATTTTGATAAAG